GTAACACTACCCTGATCATCATCTGAATCACCTTCCACACTCTTTAGCTCATCAGAATCACAAGCTGCCTCCTCTTCAACCCTCACTTCAATTTTCTGTAGATTTCTTTCTATGTCAAACCCTGTGTCCTCATCATCACTTTGATCCCCTCCTTCAGTAACTCCCCTCAAACTGCCTTTCACCTCACTGTTAATATGGTCTAAATTTTTCTTCAACCACTGTTCATCATCATCAGAGTATAAGTCCTCCTCTCCCTCATCAACTTCTAAATCAAAATCACTCAACTCAGAATCAGAAGACTCTGTATCACCATCCTCATCAGTAAACACATCACTGTCATCCCTTAAGCTCCTCACTCTTTCTTTTATTTTTCTCACTAAATTAGCAAAATTTCCAGTCTCATCCCCAACCTTAGCCTTACCCTTATCTGCAGCAGTGAGTTTACCCTTCCCTTTATGTGTATTAGCATTCACTTTCTCTGCCCTAGGAAGCCTCTCCTCAGCCTCTCTGTCATGTATAACAATGCCTTTTAACCTAGGGCTTCTCCTAAATGGCTCTTCTTCAGTGGGCTTACTAAGTTCTGGGCTGGGTTTATGTACTTTAGGCCCACCAAACCTCTTTTTCAGTTCCTTCCTTTGTGCAGGGGTTAGCTCATTCCCAGCTATACATTTGAAGGGTGTTTTGTTAGTCCCTTCAATTGGCTCATGACTGGTAACATACATCTCACATGCCCCCTCTTTGTTCACAGACTCTAGGAAACCATTCACCTCACCATCAACAAGCTCCCTTTTACCATTCACCCAAGACTTGCCCTTTTGTTTATACCAGCAACTAAACCCCCTAGGAACCTTCACATTCACATACACAAACCCATGTATAGCTGCTTGCCTCAAAAAGTGTACATCTATCTTATTTTTTTCCACTTTTCTCATCCAATAAACCCACCCACCATCCCAAGTTAACACCCTCCTATTTTTACCAGCTAAAGAAGGTATAAAGGCACCCCCTACTGTAATTTTTAAGTCCACTGTGTCCATTCTGTAACAACACCAACAAAAGCACACACAACAATAACCAATTTCAGTAATTACAGTAAACAACAACAACCAATTCACCAATTACAGCAAGTAAAAGCAATTCACATTGACTATGCACTAAATTAACAGTAAACAAGTAAATCTAATTAACTAATTATTTAACAAATGCACACTCTAATTCAGTCAAAGATTCGCATAATTAGGGTTTATAATACTTTAATTCACAGATTCCCAAAAAAGGCATACTTTACCCCAATTGACAACCATAAATCCAACGAAATGTACTAATAAAGGGTTTAAAGTACCTCTTGTAGTCAGGAATCTCGATTTCTGTCAGCAAATTACCAAGCTTTTGGTCCCCTCACCCTGTGGAAGATGACAAGAGAAGCTGATGTGTTGCAATTTTGTGGTTCCAGCTCGATTTCAACCACCCAAATTGATCTAGGGTTTCAGTTTTTACAGAGAGAAAGAGAAAAATCAAAGGAGAGAGAAGCAGTTACAGTGAGAATCAAGAAAAATCAAAGGAGAGAGAGACGAAAATTGATGAGGAAGTGAGAAATTTGGTGAGACATTGATTATGGAAGGTGGAAGGTGAGAAAAGGAGGAGACAGAGGGAAATCGATTTTAAAAGAATTAAATTGGAGGGAAGTGACAGTTAACTGGGCCCCACAAGCGTTTTCCGTCACCTAAACTCAGATGAGGTGGTAAAACTGATGTTTAATTTTTTTATGAGGTGGTAAAGTAAATGTTTTTTTTTGGAGGTGGTAAATTCGACAAAGTCATTATTTGAAGGTGGTAAAAATGAAAATTTCCATATATATATATATATATATATATATATTTCGATACTACATCATGAATACTACCTTCTCATCATGTTTCAACAATTTCTATCGGACAATTGACTTTCCTTGTGCTCACGAATGTCACGTTACACATAGGTATATTTTTTTTATTTATTTCACATTTTTTGTTTGTTAGGAATCCAAATTTTAAAGAAAGCTCTTTCCATAAGTTTCCAAGAATCCAACTCTCACAAGTCACAATCTTGATGAAAGACCCTTGATATGCAAAATGAACATTTACCAACTTAAAATTATAAATCGGTTAGGTTTCTCATTGTAACCCTATAATATTGATCAATGGAAATCACTCTAATCAAGGAGTTTATATTATCTGACATAAGATATGTACAAAAATTTCAATGGAAATCACTCTAATCAAGGAGTTTATATTATCTGACATATACAAAAATTCTCACCCTGCAACCCACCGGCGGGATATACAAAGTTTTTCATGCTTCCGCAAGCACACATATAGATTTTTTTTTCTTTTCTCAAAGTTTTTTTTAGAATCTTTATGTAACCTTGCGCCTCCTACCAACAGTAGCAATCGCGAAAAGCCTCCTCCATCGTTGTTGGCAATCGCATACACTACCGCCTCCCACTACTGGAAGTAACCACATCTGCCAACCTACTTCATGTGCTGCACTCTATTTCCACCTCCCCATGACCAACAATGACTCTTACATTGTCTCATTGGTTTTTTTTTTTTTTTTTTTTTTACACATAATCACATAGATTTTGTTTTGGTGGTGGTATATCACAATAAGGTCAACTTTTGCACAGCTATCAAATTAGCTCCTTTTATTGTTGCAACACTTGGAATCTTTGTGGAGTATTAATTTTTGCTATCTGGTTTCTCTTTTGAGAATTGATTAATTTCAAGCGGTGGAATTTAATCTTTTCTTGCGCAATTTTATTTGTTTTTCTTCAACTGTGATTTCATGTAGTAGTGTAGTGTCTTCTCCCCGATGATGGTTTGATCCCTTAGCTTCTTCTTCTCTGGATCTGCAACTTAGCCCAAGTCTGTGTGCGGCTCTTCTCCGTCTCCTCCCGCCTAGCAGTGCTTATCTCTACTCTACGTATGTCATGAATGTTGCTTCTCAACGTCATCACCGGCACATGTCTACTACTTCCCTTTTGATCATGGGTTACCATACTATCCTTACCGTTCGATGCGTGATTCAGATCCAGTCTGAGCATCCGATTTTCTCCCGCTCCGACTGCGGGGGTGTGATAGAGAATATCCATAGAATATTCTCATCTTAGGTTTAGGATATATTTTGTATAAGATTATCTTTGATATCTATACATATCTTATGTTACCTAATATGATTAGGTTTCTCATTGTAACCCTATAAATATTGATCAATGGAAATCACTCTAATCAAGGAGTTTATATTATCTGACAGTTCCATTAGATGGTCATTGGAAAATAGTCAAAATACGAAGTTTTGTTTAGTTACCAAGTTGTTTCTATTGGTATAATTAAGATTATTTGCTTGTATTTTGTGAGCATAACAAAAAAGAAATGATCTAAACAATACCTTGTAATGTATAATGAGTGTATGTTGAATATTCTCTACATTCGTTGTTGACATTATTATTTAAATAGTTATAAACCTTATATATGGTAATATGTATTTGAAGACCATTTCGTTTTCGTTTTCGAATTCTCCTTCTCAATGATTCTTTAAAGTAATATCAAACAAATATATATGACAACATATGTAAGAATTCTAAGTTTACAAAGCACTATATTTGAATGTTGACTAATGTGTAATATTCATAATTTTGTTATATATTTCGTATATTTTTTTCCTAAAGGATTTAGGAATTCTTCTCGTGAAGGGATTTTTTTTTATTCTTCCGTTTTCTTACTAGTATAAAGAATAAAAAAAAAAAAAAAAAGAAAAGAAAAGAAAAAATGTGTTAAAAAAAAAAAATAGAATTAGGCCCAAAAGTTTGACAATTGCTATATTGGGCCAGGACTATAGGACTATAGGTGTCAAGTTCTTAGTACGGGCTTCATTTGTCATAATCAAACCAATTGACCTTGGTAGTCTATGCTACATACTCAACAAGTCGATATTCCCATTTTTTAAAAACTAATGGCCAGTTCTCTTACGTCGAAATTCAGTTCAGCTCAGTTCAGTTCAGTTTAGCTCAGCTCCTAATTTCCTTCTCTTATAAAATATTCATTTCATTTCAGTTCAGCTCAATTCAGTTCAGTCAATGAGAATATGCCCTAAAAGTATTTCATTGATTGTTGAAACTTCTTTGCCATCTACTCCGTAAAATATAAGTCAAAACTAAAAATTAGAAAATAAATATCGAATAGAATAAAAAAGTATTTTTATTCTGAAAAATCACCATCATTGTTTATATTCTGTATGAAGTATTAGACACAAGAATCTTGTCTATCGTCTTGACGTTTTTGCATCATGGTTTGATAATCTTTTACTAAATTAAACAAAACATTGAATTTTTTTTTTAATTTATTTTTAAATTTCAATTAGACCTTGCATTATTTGACACAAATAACACAATCAACACCTAATGCTCAAATTGCTTACAATTGACATTTAACACTTCTATCACCTATAAAATAAAGGCTACATTACACTTACTTTAATTAACCAATTATTCCAAATTGAGTAAATTGTGGAAGGTGATTCCACCATTGTTTGCCTAATTACCATGTCCTAACATAGTCATTGACTCATTGTACAACTTGTACAATTTATTACTCCGTAGTCTGTAATATACAACATGATTTTTCATAAGTTATTATTGAGAAAAGCCTTGTTAATATGTCAAATAAACAAGGATCGTTTATATGGGGGTGTACAACCGTTGCAAAAAACTCTGTTAATAGTTCCGTTTTGTTAAAATAACCCCGTTTTTATCTATCTAGTTTTTTTACGTCATCTGGGTAAAGGAGTCCAAACATCAAATTTGAAAGTCGCGTTCTCAAACTTAGACAAAAATGGAGAAGAGATAAGGAGGAGAGCTTGCTGATCGTGTTTTGCAGCTTCCTCAGGGACGAAATGTGGCAGATCTTGTGATTCTTAAGTTCAGGACAGAACGGGATTGAATTTTAATTTACCGTCAACCATCCACTAACGTCGAAACTCGAAAGTTATGTGTCATGTCAACTACAAACCTAGAAAATATTAAAATATTGCAACATAATTCAATAATAAAAAGAATGCCATCATATTAACGTGATATGTTAATATGAAGCTCGACGGGTTAAAATATAGATAGCCCAATAGCAAAAAATTTCATAACCATATATGGTAGATATCAGCAAAGAAAACGGGCAAGTCCAAAAAGTTAACAGGAAAAAAAAAAAAAAAAAAAAAACATATTGGGTCTAAAACTCGAAAACCCAAAACCCCAAAAACATCCGTAAAAAAAAAACCCAAATCGTCGCTTTCATCGGCGGCGACGGAGCAAGCGGAATAGTCGTCGGAAAACCCTTAACTCGCGATTCTCCGATGAAAATGGCGGTTTTCCGATCACGAGCATGGCTTTCAAGAGCCTTCAGTTCTCTCTCCTCCAATCCTCTTCGGGTTTGTGTCGTCGGCAGCGGACCTGCCGGATTTTACACTGCAGAGAAGGTAATTACTTAAAATTAGTAAGTTTAATTACTGATTAATTCTCATTCTAGGTTTTCTTAATTTCCTGAATTAATTGAAAGTTTCATAGAATTTGTCTGTTAATTTTGTGAATTTAGATGTTGAAAGCTAATGAGAAAGCTGAAGTTGATGTATTGGATCGATTGCCAACTCCATTTGGTTTAGTTCGTTCTGGTGTTGCTCCTGATCATCCTGAAACTAAGGTTTAATTTATTTATTTTACTTTTTTTTTTTAAGATTCTAATGTTGGTATTATAATGTTCAATTGATGTATTTTCTGATCATATAATAAATTTTTTGTAATATTTAATCAACAAGTGGTATGTATGGTAATCATCATCATTTGGTTTTTGTTAGAACTCAATTATTTCTATAAATTAGTACTGCTTTGATTCTCTGTTATATATGTGTGTGTGTGTGTGTGTTTTTTTTTTTTTTCCGAAACTTATTTTTTCTTAATATGAGACCAATGATATATTCCTTCCGTTGTTTTCGTGTAATATGGGGGAGGGTGTAAGAAAAACGGTGGATAAAGTGAGAAGAGAGTAGAAATAGTTGCTTGTAAGAAAAAGGTGGATGAATGGTGTAGTATGGGGTATAAGTATAAGACAGTAAAAAGTGTTGACCACCATTGGAATAACATAGAAGTGGGTAGAATAACACATTAACGGTAAGTGAATAGAGCAAAAAAGACCGAATCAATTAATATTTTTTTTTTATACAGAATTTTATATGAATACAAGGTGTACATTTGGTAAAATGATTGCTTTCAATTGCTTATATTACCAGAAAAATTGCAACAGATTGTGATTAATCAGTTTAGCCGGGTTGCGAAAAACGACCGGTGCATGTTCTTTGGAAATGTAAATCTTGGGGCGTCTGTGTCACTGAAAGAGCTTCGAGATTTATATCATGTGGTGAGCTTTGCTACAATTTGCTGTCTCGCGGAGAATTTCACTTCATCCACTCCATTTTTTATTTTATGGAATATCTGTGTTTTGGTTTGGTTTGGTTGGATAGGTCGTGCTTGCATATGGCGCTGAAAGTGATCGAGTTCTTGGTGTTCCTGGAGAGGTATATTTTGTATGAGGGGTGGTGTGGTGTTTTTGTATTCTTTCTAAATATTCTTTATATATTTATTGTGTGGTGTTTTCTATAGGATTTGAAAGGAATTTACTCTGCTAGGGAGTTTGTTTGGTGGTACAATGGACATCCAGATTGCAGAAACTTGGCTCCTGACTTGGAGAGTACAAATACAGCTGTTATTCTTGGCCAGGTACATCTGTAAAGTTTTTGCCTTTTGTGGATCCTCTTTATATTTTGTTAATCATTTAGTATACTGAAATAATTTTGCAAACTCTTGTTGTTATGTATGAGCAAGATGTTGTTGCAGATGAATTGCATCATTTGACTTTTTCTTTGTCTATCATAAGAAGTCAAAAGCAAATGTAATCATGAACTAATTTGGAATTTGCCAATAAGAGTTATTCCATTTTATACTATGCTGTACTACTGGGTAGTGAGGGCACTAAAGTTTGGATATATCTTTCTAAAAACTTATCTTGGAAATATCACATACCTTGCAAAAAAAACAGAATAGATGACCTGAAATCATAGAATTAGCAGGTTGTATTGCTGCATTAGTTTGGCGAGCTTCTTAGACAGATGTCTCTAGATGATTAATATTTTTCTTATCTTTGAGTTGGTGAACTTTTTCTACAGAATTTCTAAGGCTAAGTGATTTTTATATTTGCTAACTGGATAGCTTGTAAACTAGTACGTAAAGTGTTATGGTTTACAATTATACAAGCGTAACATTACTTAAGTTTTTGAAGGTTAGGCTGCTCATCTAAATGCATATGCTTAAGATAAAATTTAATAATTCTTCAAATAAACCAAAATATCATGTTCTATCTGCCGAAGCCGTGTTCTGACAACCTCGGCTTGTTATCCATTTCTTGCACTTGACCCTTGCATCGCATTGAATCTTTTTCGACCCTCTTGAGACAGGTTCTGCAAGAGGTTGAAACTTGAAAGGCTATAGTACATGACTACATATATCTTAATCTCATTTCCTTGTTGATTATTTCCGCTGCTGTTTATAAATCAGAGAGATTGAATAACTTCTCATCCATCCAGCTGCAACCTGATTGACAGAGCCGCGAAAATTATAGCTGAATTTTGATCAATAAATTTGGTCTTCATGGGGTATATTCTGTTCTGCAGGACCTCTTTGCACCCCAGCTATGCCTTTCAGCTGCATTTGAATTTCTGCATTTGGTCTTCATGGAAACCCTTGTATCCGCTGTCCTGCAGGACCCCTACTCACTCCAGTGCATAATGATCATTGACAGAAAAGGATACATCCACAAAAATATATTATTCATAAAGAATACGAGGAATTAGGCTTTTGGGAACAGTGTCTGGGGGGTTCACTGTAGTTACTAATGAGATTTCAGGGGAATAATAGTAAACTTGTTGACGTCTGTTCAATCCACTATGGGATTGTTACAGCTGTTGAGACATTATATTCTCCTTATTCTATATGATGTGTAATGTAGAGACCCTAAGAGCTCTATGCTGCTAAAATATGATCCATGCCTAGTTATTCATGTTTCTTTACTCAAGTGATTCTCTACATGTGTATCTATACATGCTGAATTATGTTTTATTTTTCTGTGTTTGGACCATGACATCACGATTAACAATGTGCCTTTATTTACTTGAATATATCTGTCTAGGGCAATGTAGCTCTTGATGTTGCAAGAATCCTCTTAAGACCCACGGCTGAACTGGCAACGACTGATATTGCTAGTCATGCATTAGGTGCTTTGGAAAAGAGCTCAATAAGGTTTAATCGTTACTATATTTCTACTTGACCGCAAGTTATTGGCACATTTTCCCCTAATTTATTGTTTAAATTCAATTGCAGGAAAGTGCATTTAGTTGGAAGGCGTGGTCCAGTACAGGCCGCTTGTACTGCAAAAGAATTACGTGAGATACTTGGTATGTTTCCATCTTGGCATTCCTTTTTTATGATTGGACTTGGTCTATATCTTTAGATCTTTGAGCCTTTTGTATTTAGTCTTTGTTCCTAAGTAATAATCTTGTTATTCTGGATATGATACTCTGTTTATCTGTTGAATTTGTGTCTCTTTTTAGTTAGTCTTTGATCCTAAGTAATTATCTTGTCATTCTGGATATGATACTCTGTTTATCCGTTGAATTTGCGTCTCTTTTTATATTTGATGTCCAAAAATTTATTATTGTCGTAAACTTTAAGTTGCTTTTACTCTAAAAACTAGTTCCGACTAATATAGGACAAGAGGGAGTAGCATTCATAGTGAAAATTGCATCATCTTAACAAGTTTACACAACTGTGCATTGAAAATGTAGAACAACATATACAATTATCAAAGTGGTTGTCCTTTTATTTTATGTGCACGTTTCAATTTGATTGCCCTAGTTCTTCTTCTTTAGATTGTTTTGCTCAATTTTACTAAAGGTAATTCTTTTTGGTTTCACAAATGACAATTCACATCACTTACTGTCTTACTGAGCTTGTAGTCTACTTTGACAACCATTTTGAAATGGAAGGAGGATATAAAAGATTCTAGAATGACACTTTTTCAAGAACCGGACACTGTGGACAGAATTAGTCACTAGGTCATCCACATGGTGCTAAGGCATGGAAACATCCCTGACATCATGGTATTTTAATTTGAAGTTGTATGTAAGAGAGCTGTGATAATAATTTCCATGAGTTCCAGCTTTCAGGATCTTTTAGTTAGTTTGCTGATGACAATGAAAGTTTATTTTAACTGTCCTTTGTCTGAATATTATCCTGATGTTAACAACCACCCCTTCTCTCTAAAAATATAATTAGAAACTCCGACGTTTATTCTTGTGATACTTTCCTTATTAGGGTACCTCATTTTTTTTCACAAAGTTTGTCACGACAGAAATCTATGTGTTTTAAAATTTATTTTATATTTTATTGTCATGCTAACTTTGTAACAATTTAGCTGATAGATATATAAACAATGTTTGCAGGGCTTAAAGATTTGTACATCAATATTGAAGATGCCGATCTTAGGAAAAGCCCAGTGGATGAGGTTCAACACTAGAGATATAAGTTTATTGTATTAATGTTTGAAATCTTGAATGCTTCTCTGATGTAGCCAATCTATTGTTATCTGGCTTGATGTGCTATTAGCCATTATATATTAATATATTTTTATTTATTTATTTAATTTTTTTTTAATTTCCATGCATAATTCTGGGGCAGGAAGAAATGAAGTCCAGTCGAATCCAGAGACGGGTGTATGAATTACTATGTAAGGCATCCACCTCAAGACCTATGAGTCCTGATGCTGATCAACGGGAGCTCCACTTTGTTTTCTTCCGCAAGCCAGACAAATTTCAGGAGTCAGAGAAGAGAAATGGGCATGTTGCTGCAGTTCGCTTTGAGAAAACAACTCTTAAAGGTAGTCTTCTTTTACCAACTCTATTGTGCTAACATTAATTTTTTTTTTTTGCTCATCTCTATTGTTTATATCTGTGCATTCAGGTACTCAATAATTTAATATACTCCCTCAGTCCCTCCATATTAAGGGGCCGTTTGGTTGGGGGTATTCAAGAAAGGGAAAGGGAATCAACTACCTTAAATCCCTTTGATGATGTTTGTTACACACAATCAATCATTCCCTTTACCCCTCCTATTACCCCATTTTCCTCTACTTTGATTCCCCCACCCCCTCTAGGGAATCACTCTTTCCCCCAAATCCCTCTTCACCCAACTGCCATGACCACCTTGTAACTACCTTTGACCAACATTGAAATCACTACCCAACAATCAGAACCATCGCCCAGAACCCTAGCCGCCATCACCATTGTTTAACCGCCACCAGATGTACCGCCCAACAACCATAGCCGCCGCCTTAGCTGCCATCACCATTGTTTAACCGCCGCCAGAACCATCGCCCAACCGTTGACACCACCACCATCAACCGACCCAACTTCACCGGCATAACCGACCTCTCAAATCGCCCTAAACCCACCGGAAAAAACCCACCCTCCTTGACAGCCACCCCACCAAAACCACCCTAAATACACCCTCCCCGAAAACAATTGCACCAAACCGACCTAAACCCACCCGAAAACCCATCCATGTGAACCACCTCACCCAATTCGACACAACCACCACCCATATCTCCAAAACCTCCAGATTCACCACAAATCCCACCCAAAAAACCCTATATTTCTCCATAAACCCCCCAAGTTACCCACAAACATCTAAAAATAATCCTTAACACCCTATAAACAACCAAACATCTAAAAATAATCCTTAACACCCTATAAACAACCAAACAACTAGATCTAATAAATAAATTTAAAAAAAAAAATTGAGAGAGAAGAGGACATTAATGGCGGTAGAGGGGAGGGAACCAGTGGCGGCAAGGGCAGGCGATAGGGGAGACAGTGGAAGGTCGTGAGGAGGGCGGTGGCTAACGTGGTGGTGGTAGGTGAAGGGTAGATTTAAGGGGTAGTGGTGGTTGTAGAAGGAGGAGAGTAGTGGTGGTTGCAAATGTGATTCCCTTTGTTTATGTAAAACAAACAACAATACAAAAATGAAGGATTAGCTTTCCTTTCTCTTCCTTTCCCTTTGTTGATTCCATTCCGTTTAATGTGTGCGAACCAAACGGCCCCTAATTGTATTTCCACTTATTCCTTTTCAAGATGTCCCAATTTCATAGCAACATACCCAGCAAATATCTTCTTTTTTTTTTTTTTTTTTTTTCCCCACTTATATTCTATAGTTGAGTCCCACACCCACCCACACACCCACTTTTTTCTCTCTACTACCTAACTTCCGTTAACACGTGCCAAGAGTATTTTGGCAAATTGGGACAGAGGGAGTAACATCATAGTATTACAGTTTTTAATGCAAATATGTGTGGATTTTAGCTTACTATAGTTGTGATTCCCTTGTGAACCTCCTGAAATACCAATTACATATGGTTCACTAATTTATTTAAAGAAGAGTGCTTGCATATTCTTGTCACTCAATTTAGGAATATTAGTGCCTGATGTGCTTCTGTCATTATGCAGTGGACTCAGGTAGACAGGTTGCAGTTGGGACTGGAGAATATGACGACATTGAGTGTGGGTATGTACCTCTAAAATGTAGTCTCTAATTTTTTATACAATCTAAGAAACTGTATCCCTTTTTTCCTAGGATGATCTTCTTTATGTAAGGGTTGTATGCATGTTTTGAGCTAGGTACTTGTCAAGCACTTTTACACTTTTCTCAAACCATCTGTCAGCTTGTAAAGGATTAGTTTTGCACATCTTGTCCTGGTGGATGTTGGGTACATAAGCAGAACTTTTGATCACTTGTCCCTTATCTGATTAGAAGCTATATTGCCCCAGAAGATAATGATTAGTTAGATGGGCCTTAAAAATCAGTTCTTGCAACTTGTTCCCTAATCCTTTTAATTATGGAACATGTCTTCATTAGAATTAGTTCTATATACAGTAATTTGCTTCAGGCATATAGGTTCCAATTGTTTTGCTGGAATTTGTATAACAGGAAACTATTTTTCCAATTTTCCATTGGTTGGTTTGTAAAAGGATGGAAAGCAATTTTCTTAAAGGTGGAAAATAGTTCTTCCAAGAAAGCATTTTTCTTTTGAGAGGAAGGAATGCCACATTTTTCTCCCTACTCCTAAATCCTTTCCTTTCCTCCCATCTATCTTCTGCCTTCCTTTCCCATTTTCCTCTTCCTCTATATTGTTTTTCTTGTAAGGCAAGTAGGCAACAAATAGTTAAAAACTATACTACCTCCGTTACAGGTAATGTGCAACGATTAGACATTTTCCCTCTCTGCTTTATGTCAACTCGTTGCACATAATCTGTAACGGAGGTAGTACTTACATGTGTTTTCTCTTGAAAAATTGCTTTACATGGAAAATAACTTCCGTGAAAGTGATTGTCATCAAACTAAAGGGAGGCATAGTATACTGAATCTTCTCTTTATCAGTTGATGGATTTTAAATGATTTCTTGTCTTGTACTCCATGTAACATTACATACCTGTGGTCCTTTATAACAAACTAGGTGACTTAGTAGACTAAATGCACAAGAAAGCAGAAGAGAGGATTGTTTGAGGGAAGTAGGCTGCTATTTCATTCATTAATAAAGATCAAACTATCAAAGCTTTCTTACAAGGAGGCTTGAGGCAACCACTCTCCCTAGTGCCTTTAGGACACAAGTCTCTACACCTGAAATGACTACAATATTCAACTGCCTAAGCAAGTTCCCACCTCCCTTTTTTTTATATGTACATACACAGCCAAAATAGGGTAAAGACAAGAGTAAGAAGGCTGGAGCTAGCTGTCATAATTTGAGAGGCTGGCTGCAGTAATTGGCTGCTCTCAATGCTTTGTGTGCGCTGATCCACTACCAGCTGCTGCTCCACTATCCCCTCCCTTAGCTTCTCCTGCTGCCTTTTCCTTCTCCTTCTTGTGTATGCGATCAAACCCTTAGGCTTGTTGCTCAAGGCATTCGTTGCATCTTTAACTCCGTACTTCTCCTTGCTAGTATGTAATAACCCTCTTATCCTATGATATCATATAGTTAGTTTCAGATTTTCTCTTAAGCCCTACCATGTAACTCTTAGATAGTGCATGTTTTCCCAGATATCCATGCCATTTGTCATGAATTCAATTAGGATCAAACATAGCAAATTCAGTAACCTCAATTGATATCTTATAACCTTGCATTACCCTTTTTGACAGGTTGGTGCTGAAGAGTATTGGCTACAAATCTGTGCCAGTGGATGGCTTGCCCTTCGATTCGCACCGAGGTGAGATGATACAACATTGATTGCTGTTTCGTGAGACTTACATGAATATATATTTTTTTGGTGAATATATGATTTAACCAGAAGCTGGATCACATTATCTTAGGCACATGACTTTACATTCCCTTGTGTTGGATGCATTTTTTGTAAAGGATGTGAAGCTTGATTTATTTAATTGGTAGGTGTTCTGTGAAGTGTAAAGTATGGAATTTTTATGTTAAATATATCTAAACTTAGTGGTTCCTGTTAAATTATGTATTTCTCAACTCTACTAGCCGATATTTTTGTTGATTTTCCAGCATAAAGATTTGATTGTGGAAATTACTGTTTAGAAAATCCATCAATGACTTGTCCACCATAATGGCTTAAACTTATATCTTACTGATGATTCTTAATCATAGGCGTTGTTCCAAACTTAAGAGGTCGAGTGTTGCAAGCTACTTCAGGTGATCATGCGCTGCTTGAGGGTTTGTACGTTTGTGGATGGTTGAAGAGGGGACCAACTGGAATCGTTGCAACAAACCTTTATTGTGCTGAGGAAACTGTGAGTGTTACCCTGTTTCTATTGTTCCTTGAAAACTTCTTAATATCTTGTACAGAGTACTATTATCATTGTCCCAATCCCTTATATTTAAAAAGCTGTTATATAATTTTTTTTTGAAGGAATGCTACAGAATCTAAAGTATTATTAAAACACATATTGTAGAAGGTGGAAAATATAATATAAACCATACAAACGTTCCAAAATAATTCCTTGATTACTTCTGGCTTTCTGCTGTCCGGATAAAATTTTAACCGCCCAATCTCTTATAACTAGAATGCCATTGTTTTGTTTAAAGACAATTTGTAATAGGTGGGTTTTTTTTTTTACACCTTGCTTATCACTCAACTTAAGCAGGGCCACAGGGGGCTTCTTTGGAGGCCCAATCATAGAATCCTTCCACTTTTGGACATCCCAAAATATTATATATGACGTGACCAACGTCTTTAGAAGAAGGGAGTATTGAGTTTGAGTATATGACTTGATCTCTTTATGTGTTATCATTGCTGAAGCTGTGTGGGTTTAATTGCATATCTGATTAATATCCAAATATGGCAGGTTGCCAGCATAATGGAGGACCTTTCCCAGGGACCATTAGCATCACTTTCAAGCTTGCAAAAACCGGGCAGGGAGGGGCTTCTTGAGTTGCTCGCTGATCGCAAAGTCACAGTACTTCCATTCAGTGCCTGGGAAAAGATAGACTCCGAAGAAAAGCAGCGGGGAGGTTTAAAGCACAAACCCAGAGATAAACTATCCTCTTGGCAGGAGCTACTGAAAGTTGGATCAGAATGAATATATTTTCATCTCACTAATTACCTATTTCCCAGAGGAAGAGGGAAATTCAGAGTTTTTTTTTCCCCTTAATTTATATACGACCATTTAGACTGTTGTATAGAACTACAATTTTGACTTAGTTAGCACTCCACACTAACCTGTTATCTTTGAATTTTGAAGTGTGGGTCACAGCAGCTTTTAGAATGCTCTGTCTCTCTATTATACACCAGAGTTGGTTATGACATATCAATTCGTAATGCTTAATCATTGATATTACAGAGAATAAATGGTATCTGATCTAGGATCCAATTCACAATTGTTTGTTTGGCAATACAACATTGTCGTGTATTTTAATTATGTGTTTATTTATTATTATTATTATTTTTTTCATGAGAGAATCGAGTTATAATGGATTCTGCTATTGACTGGATATCTGTTGCTATTTTAGAATTGCCATACTTAAAGATATATACTAGTACACACTATATCCATTTCATGCTGTATTTGACTGAAGTTATCTGAGATTTTTGAACTAAAATTACCTACAGAAGTAATCTGATTTATGCACCTGAATTTACATATGTAGACACGTTTGTAGTTATATATATACAGGTTCAGCAACTGATCAATAATTTCCCAGGCACGCCATCAAGTATGGTATTTGTACCAAAGAGATGCATGAAGCACATATGTTTTTCTTAATGCAATGTTTATTTGCAGGCATTTGGTAATGCAATGTTGGTGCCATTGAAGGACGTTTAGTAATGAGAGCTTGCTGATTCTCGCCTATGGGCATCCTCTTCTGATGGGGTTCATCTATGGAACATGGTATGTTTTCCTTTCCTTTCTAACTTTTACAAAGGGACCACATCTTGAATGAGGTTGATTATGCACTCTCTTCCATTGAAATGACTGATTTCACTATTTTATGACATGCTTTGCTCCCCATAACTCCAACCCCCCCCCCCCAAAAAAAAAAAAAGCAATACCTTGATTGAGCAGCATAATACTCTCGATTATGAATGTATTTGCAATTACAGTATCGGTTCATATACTCCTATTTGTCAGATTTATTAGCTTGACAATATCCATCTAGAATTCTAAGTAGTAATTTCAGACTTAAGAGTGATACCTGATGATGAGTTTATAATGAGTAATGACTCCTTGATGTCTATGTTGCTAACCCTAGTACTAGATGGCGGAAATAACTATCAATTGTTGAAACAAAGGCTGACAAAATAATGTGCCAATAGTTGAACAAATTTTAGACACAAGAAAATGAGTTGTGGGATATATGAGGATTTGTGCTAGGGTCTAGGCTTTATAATATCCCAAGGGTGAAGCTGAAGTAAATACGTTTAATGCATAAGAGGAAAACAAAAAAGGAGTTTTTTTTTACCGTCTTTGAACTGTAAGAGTTAAGTCTACATTTCTACGTAGTAGTGTAGTACCGGAGTATGTCTTATGCTTGTACCTTTTCTAGACTGGAATGACCCTATATTTTGTCAAGGTAGCAATACACATGTTATGTATATTGGATGTGCGATTCGTGATTGTGACAACTTAAACCCTTTCTTTTGCCTTTTGTTTTGTTTGTTTGTTTGGGTGGGTTGGGTAAGCTGTGATTTGGACCCGGATTTTGGGTCTTTTTGTGAGTTGAATTTTGATTGTAAAATACAATGTATTGTTGTCTCACCTTCTGATGGTTCTGCCTTCTTTGTGATGTAGTGTACTCTTAAGTAGTAGTAGTAAAATCTATGGAAGACCTTGCCCCTTGGTATAAGACTTAATGGTTTGGCCATGTCATCACAGATGATCCTTTCTTCATCTTTTCCCCCACCTTTTCAAAAGAGTGAAAGGAAACTTTAAGCTGATAACATCCTGACCCTTGTCTTGTGTTCGGTAAAATCTTTTCTGTGAATTTATAAGTCGTTTCTTTCTTTCCTCTGAAGTTGTAGCTCCCTTTTTGGCTGAAGTGACTCGACAATTAGAAGTCCAATTACCATAGAAAAATTAAAGTGAATGGTAATAGTTAAACTCCACCTTCCTTTTGAGAAGCACTTCCAATTTATTTCAATCTGCTGAGGGATAAGCACAGGGATCTTCCACTATATGTCTTGACTTGTGCTTGATTTAATAGGCTTGTTGTACTTGTTAAACTCAATCAGTTATTTTTGTTATATCCAACACAACACTTTCTGCGCTTGAAGAATTCCTTTGTAACCCGTTGGTCTTTCACTAGGAATGTTCAACTGGCTATCTATATCCTGAAAAAGCTCTTTTTAGTTGACTTGTGAGTTTACCTTGAGCTCCCTAAGCTGCTAAGACCTGGGATTAAGGTCCAAGAGAGAATTTCTTTGTTCTTCTGGGGTCATTGTATTGTGTCTGAATGTTCTCGTTTTTAACTGCTTACATGTTCATCGATAAATATTTTGCTGAAGTCCATGCTGGATATATGAACCTTGTCCCTAACAGGGGGAAAGCCGTTGGTAAAGTAGCCTCGAAAAGATTTTGGTCTTACAAAATGTAAATATCTGTAATCTGAAGTATGGATAGTTATGTTATCTAATTTTGGATAAATACTTTGTTATAGTTGACTTAGTTCTGTGGTTAATCTAAGACTCTAGTTATCTGATGAAGCTGCTTTGTTAATTTGTATATATGACAATTTATGCTTGGTATTAAAACCATGATATTCTAATCATGAATTTCAGCACCTTAACTCTATTTTCCATTTGGAAATTTTAGATCAAAGATAATTTTTCGTAAACTTTGGGCTGCTGTCTTGTAAAACCTACAATGCACATCCTCTTTTCATTCCTGAAGTCCTATCTAACTAGTTGATGGTTAATGGTTTGTTAAGTTTCACCAATATATGATGCTATATGTCATTCATGACTGCCTTACTTCCGCTTTTTAGTTTTCTTCGTAAAATGTCTATTTCCATCATTCTATTGAGGCCATTGCTATTCAAGTCCTACAATTACTATGGATCCCACTGTAAGTGGGATCATTGCTACTGCTAGTTGCTAACCTTGTCCCCTCATATACCTATTGTTGTTCGTCTCATTGACAATGATGAGCAGAGAAGTTTTTACTTTGTGATTTGAAACGTGAACGTTTATGTGCTAAATGTAGCGTACTCGACTACTTGTTAGCACGCTGGTAAATCTTCAGTCCTCGCAGCTACATTTCCCCAATCCTTCTAAATACACACTTACTTTGGGAAGGGTTAGCGAGCAGGATGCACACATCTTTATATTTGCAGTAACAGAAAAAAATATTTCCAATCAAGCTTTTTATTTTTTATCTGTTGCACAACAGTTTTTCTACTTCACAATGAATAAATACTTTTATTTAGTCCATTTTTGATGAATCTTTCACTGAGTTAGGTATGTACATACTTCTGTCATTTCGTGCAGGTTATATCAGTTGCCGACCATTGTCTAGTCATCATTTCAGGTGAGAAATACTCGGGTTGCTTCCTGACTGGCGCTCTTACAATTTACTGAGATAATATAAGGTTAGATTCAATCTCTTTTTTGCCTTCAATTATTAAAGCTCTTTGGAGGACCCAATAAAAGGTAGGAAGAAGTACGGATGAATTTTTATTTGGCAAATCTATCATCACACATTCACATGTATGAAACTATGATAAGCTAAAAGAGGCATGAATTCTTGTCTATCATCTGCGTGCATAGTAATGTGGGGAAATAAACTTCAATTATTGTGCAGTACTAAACTACCAGTGTATTTTGTACTGCTCTTAACTGATGTTGATATGTCAACACATTATTACTCTTTTTCTTCTCATGGGACATTGCTATAATAATGGCTTTACTACGAGCTTTTGTATCCAGTTGTGCTCATTCTACCGTGTCAACTTAGATGCATGCTTATGTCGATTTGAGTATTACTTTGTAGATTTTATTAGTTAATCTGATAACTTCCTTTAAACACATGCTATTTAGAGATATTTACCTTAATTTGCATGATTTTTTATGATTGTTTTTTTTGAAATATGATGATGTTGGGTCACCTTTATTCTTTAGCTGGGAGGCATCTAGGATTAGGAACAGTTCAAAATTTGAAGGGAGGAATTTTATTTATTTATTTATTTATTTTATATATAAATCTTGGTGTAGGTGTGTGGTGGGGCTGATGACTTGATGGTGGACGTGACTTCAGTTACTAAATTCGGTTAAAAAACAGTAGATTAGCTTATTTAATTCGTATGAATCATACATATGCCTTTACGTTTTAACTATTTTAGTTAATTGAACATAAATGAATGACATATGGTTAGGTTACTAAGTGTTAGATAACTAACATTTACATGTATCAGGGTTTTTTATGTCAAAAAAAAAAGAAATTATTGTCAAAAAAAAAAATTATTAATAGGGCAATGATGTTACTTGAGTGACTTGATTGGTATAATGACCCCCCTTTGTGTTAAATCCATCCTCCTTTAACAAAGAATCGAGAGTGGTGTGTAAAGATTATTCAAGTTGTCCCCATTTCTACAGAAATTGGTCTTTGTTGTTATCCACATCACTCATGCCATTTGCTAATGCCTTTCTTTTCTAATAGGTAATTTTCATTATTTCTTGTCCTATAATTCAAATATTCCAATTTACCCAATCTTGTTTGTAATTTGGCATTTTGAGGGCATCTTTACTTCTTTAGCGTTGCCCTGCTTAGCTCTCTCTCTCTATACCCATGTTGCTTGTCTATTACATTTTAGATACATTTCCTTACTTGTTCAAACATTGTCGTCCTAATCTTTGATATATGCTTGTTCGTATCTGACTTTCCCTACTATTGCAACGTGCTTGGATTTGGGAGAACTTTTAAGTACATCAAACCAATCGTTAGGCTAAATCTTAGTTGTTCAGGATGAATGGATAATTATAGATAGTAGATGAATGTTGCTTATTGGTATGGGGCATTTATTTGATCAGTTTTGTAATGTGACTTGTAGCTTTGTTACACTCATTGAATGTGCTTATTTGTAACGAGGCATAGTTCAGGCCAAAGCATGTCAACCCCCCCTTAGTTTTTAATTGCTAGACTGACCTCTCTTCGACAATTAAGTTCGGCTTTTGCCTTCGTCCCTAGTAATGATGTCTTCATTGTGGAACCTCCCGAGATGAATGCCCATGGATTTTACCATTGTTAGTATACAAATAATTGCCTAGGTATACAAGCAAATGCTTGCATGCAAATGAATTTACATTGATCAAGGACAATTCTAGCACGGTCCTTACATTTGCTTTAGATGGAAAATGTGGAACCTCAAGATAGAATAAAAGACCAAGATAAGTAGTGGAACAAATTATCATCAATCACATTAAAATGATTAGTATAGAATCAAGAGAAAGTGGTGTTCTCATCACAACTTTGGAGATAAGAATCCTTTCAGGGTGATTACTTGAGCAATGTCATCAACTTCTTGTCAATAACATGCATGCTTATTTTTGAATATGGATGTAGTGAGGCTTTATAAATAATTTACTTTGTATAACAATTTTTGGGTTTTATAAACAAAATTACTTTGTATAACAATTTTTTTTCCGTATGAACTTATTTTCATAGTGTATCGAGCAACATATATTTAATTCTCTCATTACTACGGAGTAGTTTACTACTCGTATTTTCTTAATCCTTCTGTCTTTTCTACTTTGTGTAATTCTTCTCCGTCTAAGAGTCTAGCTTTTTTCTTTTCCTCTAAAGCATTTTCTTCATGAGGTGCCAAGAAAGAGGATAGCATCCAAACCATGGACCGATACATCTTGAATGATACTGCTGACAAATTAGCCACCCTTTGCTACCACCTAGTTACCTGACTAGGCTATTGATTTTCATAATAACACGATGTACAAAGCATAATAGACACCAGAAACAAATCAAATTATTGCAATTCTTGTATAAAGAGTGGTTGAGATTATGTGATAACTATTAAAGAATTGTTGCATCAATTGTGTGATTAACAATTTTAATGTACTATATTAGCTTTAATGAAGCTAACTTATCCAATGACATGTGGAACTCACTTTATATTAGGTAGGGGCCCACACATCTAGGATAGTTGAGCTTGGCCAAACAAAAAATGTAGGGAAGAGGAAGATAGCGAAGAAGACCCCCCTAAAAATGGGTCAAGAGTGGTCTGGCCCACAAATCCCTTTTTGGGGCACTGCTCGAGGACACTAACCCCATTTATAGGACCCATTTTTGAAAGTACAGTATTTACAAATTTTTAACTAGACTCTAGTGTATGTAGCTTTCCCTACACCCCCTTTCTATACTACGTCGTTTTATCAAGCAGCTACTTTTGCATAATTTTTTTTCCTTCCCTTCTTTACCTTCCATTCAAATAAGTACTGTATATAAACATTTTTATAGACTTCATTTTCTATATTATGGATTTGGACACTTAGTATAAGTATTTAAGTACCTCTTTTATTTGTGTTAAAAAAAAACACTGTAGGAGTTATGGTTTACAAAGTAAATTTTTATCTTTGGACAAATTTACTAACCACCAGTTCACCACCCCTTTTCCCTTAACATGTTTTCTCAAAGATATTAGGTTATGATAAACTTATTAGACGTGATAATAGAAAAAATATATACTATAAATATAGTGTTATGTACTTATGTTTAATCATTACTCTCATCAAACCAATACTGATTAAGGGTGTATTTTCTTCATCTAAACTTATTTGACTTTACTTTATTATACCTAATTATCCCTGATATTCATATATATCTACATCTGATTGGATTTGATCAGCTCTAATTAGTTGTAAGACTTTTTTTTTTAAAAGGTGAACAGAAGGACTAAACACCTTGTAACTTCATTATTTTTATTAGTGCGTCAATAACCTCATTGGTTATCAATATCTTTATTAATGGACAATCAATAATTTTTTTAATTTATTTTTTTGGAATAATACTTTTAATTCTTTTTTAAAAATAATTCTAATATTTTGGGTTGGTCCTTTAAAATGGTCTTTTAAGACAATTTTGGAAAAAGGGTACCTCAAAGCTAAAATTATTCGAATTCATCCAAAATTGGAATTAAGAAAAGAAGATGCCAAAAGTTGTAATTATTATTCATATATTTTTTTTTTTGAAAAAAAAGGATGAAGAAAAAAACAAAAAAGTTAAAATACAACTACAAACACCCCTGCTAGTTGCTACACTCTTACTGCAAAAATATGATACAACACAGACAAATTTCTCTCATTTCTGCATTCCAAATTTTCTCTCTCCTCCTCTCTTCATTCTCTGAAACATTGAAAATCCCCCAAATTATATTTTATTAGATAAAACAACGTTTTGAGTTTTAAATTAATGTCAAGGGTGTTTGAAGAACATGATTACATAGGTTTATCAGCGGTTTCTTCAATTGAAGATCAAACCTCTGAAAAATCCAAAAACTCAGCTTTTTCTGACAAAAATAACACCAAAATTCTCAACTTTAAGGCCACTGAATTAAGGCTTGGATTACCAGGCTCACAATCCTCTGAAAATGGTGATGATGATAATGATAAAAAAGGTGATGATTTCAACTACAAAGTTGCTAAATTTAACAGTTTAGTATCTGGGGCTAAAAGGGGTTTTTCTGATGCCATTAATGGAGCTTCTAACAACTGGGGTTCATCTGAAAATGGCGGATCTGATAATAATTCTGTGAAGAATGAGGAAAAGAAGTTGCAGAATTCCCCTGTTTCTGTGCAGCCAGCCAACTCTGTTCTTGCTTCTTCAAAGTAATTCACTTTCTTCCTCCTAATTATCTTTTTTTTTGTTCTTATGAATTGTCTTGTGTTTTCGAAAACCACGGGTGTATTGTATACTACATGGAGAAGTGTAGTCTACATGTAGAAGTGTAATTCAAAAAAAGATGACATGTTGGTGTCGTATACAAGACCTTTATTTCTTGTTATTTTATTTGGAAAATGTTTTTCTTTTTTGGTTAGATATGTTGTCAACTTGTTGTATGTTGATGATGTTGGACAAAATTATAAAATTAAAATCTGAAATTTGTTGTCATGATCTTGTTTGAAGTGCTAATTAATTAATTGAGGAAAATTGGAAATTGTAACATTACATGTTCAGTTTGTTTGGTGTATGAATCTTTAACTTTTAGCGATAGATTTCATCAGGTGAACGAATCAAGCCAATCGATGACTGGCATGTGCCATAACTAGCCAATCAAATTATGCTTTCAATTAACATACTGTAACAGATATCATAGCCTCATAGGTAACTCATGTAAAATGGGATTAGCTCGTGCTGACAATTGATATGTACTCTGTACTTCATTTTTTTTTTCATTGACTTGTGTATAACATACTTACTACTTAGGCATACCTTGTTCTTAAACAATAAGTCACCTTTGATTTTGCTGGTTGTTATTCAAATTTGACTATTACTTGTCAAAATATGTGTTGAGTTATGCGAAGCTATGGTAATATGCTATTGATCATTATTCTAAAGAACTATACTTTTAACTATGAAGTCGGAAAGTTATGGTTAAAGCTCACAAACGGGGCCTGTTATTTGAGGAATTGAGGGAGTAGTAATGTAAGATGATTAGGTAGACATAGTAATAATATTATGCTCAACTCGGGTTAATTTTTTCCTGAAAAAAAATTCTTAAGAAGTTTTTGCATAGGTGCTCAACTCGGGTTAGTTTTTTTCTAAAAAAATATAGTTTCACTCAGCTGATCTTAGTCATGCTAACACATTGGACATATAGTTTAATGAATTGTAGAAATTTTTTCATGAAAACCTTTCTCAAATAGGAAATAGCACCACGAAGGAGCTACTTTAACTAAGGATAGCATAAAGTAGGAGAAAGTCTTGCTAATTCTATGAAAGGTGATTTGTGTATTACTTTGAAAGAAAAAGAATAGAGTATCATTGATGATAATGTACTTTAATCAGCAAGAGATGACAATTATTGATGATATGATTGATAACGGACTTTGTTGGATTGAGATAGTAACAAGCTTACTGGGAAGGTTATGTTAGGTATAAAGGAAGAGAAAATAACATCATTGTAGCTTACTTGTGTCTTTTATGCATATGTATTCCCTTCTTTGTCATTATTTAGATGTTTTCATTCATATGCTTATCTCAACATTAACTTTTGGGACGTCCGGCTGGCTTTGAGTATTGCTCTCAAGACCAATGACTTCTGAAGTTCTGATGTTACATTTTGTTGACTATTTTGTGAAATCTGTAATATAAACTATGCATGTCTGTGAATAACAGGGCACAGGTTGTAGGATGGCCACCAATTAGATCATTTCGGAAGAATTCCATGGCCATCAACACACCAAAAACCAATGAAAGCAACAAAGATTCCAAGTCTGAATCAGGGTGCCTCTTTGTAAAGGTCAGTATGGATGGCGCTCCCTACCTAAGGAAAATCAATCTTGGAACCTATGGAGGTTATGTTGAACTGTCCTCAGCCCTTGAGAAGATGTTCAGTGGCTTTACAGTGGGTACGATATTTATGCTGTTATTTCTTTCTATAAATCTGCATCCAGATTGCTGCTTAAAGTGGCAACCATCCATATCCCAGTGTTGTTTTCCACAGGCTAGCTAGCACAGAATACTTTTTAAAAGACTTTATTGTTCTTCTCTTTGATTGAAAGATCATTTCAAAAATATATGATGCCAAATTTAGGGTAAGCGTTAAGGTTCTTCTTAATGACCTCTCATTCTCTTACTCTGCTGATTAGATCTCAACTTTGTTGGCTGAATTTCATACAGTATATTTAAGCTCACTATATCTTTCATAGTACTTTAGATAGAATTGACTATCAGCAATGTAGTCTAATATTGAACTAATTTTAATTTGACTTCATTTGGTTTAATGCATTAGCTAATAGATCAATGCAGCATCTGATTCTCTAACATAAGAAAGAAGGGCTGTAGGCTTGTCGCTAGTTTGTTGTTTTATGTACTTGAACATTGTTCTATTCTTCCATGCCCCTCAAGTTAGTTATTTTTCTCTTATCCGGTTATCCCTTTCACAGTCCTTACATAAAAATGTGTATGATTTGCATAGGTCAAGTTGATTTTAGTAAGGGTAGATTAATGGATAATCTTCGGCATTCTGAATATGTTCTTACCTATGAAGACAAGGATGGTGACTGGATGCTAGTTGGTGATGTTCCATGGAAGTAAGTATATACACTCTCCTTAGAGGCATCTTCGATAGTCTTCATACTTATATATGCATCTTTTGGAAAGGACGACTCATATTATATTCATGATTCACGAAAACTTTATTTTTTCCTGTCTTTTCTTTTAAATCTATGAAAATCATTCGAGCATCAATTATTCAATTGTACATCTTGCAGTATGTTTTTGGAAACCTGTAGAAGACTGAGGATCATGAAGAGTTCAGATGCAGTTGGGCTAGGTAACACTAAAATGACTATAACTTTTAATTATCTTCCTTTGATCTGGTCATCCAACGTGCAGATTTTCTGAATAATTGTCTGTTTCTTGCAGCATCAAGAGCTAGCGAGGAATGATTTTGCCCGAGTCTCTTTACCAGTGATGTCTCAAGGAAATTTTGACTGTCTTTCCCCTGGAACCTTCTGATGTAGCTCGAGGATGGTCAATTCAGAAGCTCCTTTGAATTGTGACAGGTTGTTGTTGCAGAATGTATGTTATAAACAGCAGACAACCCAAGCATGTATCAATTATAATGAATGTCTTTGCTATATAGTTGATCTGAGTGAAATTAGGACTGGTATGCATGCTCTTGCTATTTGCTATTGGCTCTCAGCTATGGTAGTAGACTGTCGACATTAGCTTGAACTCGCTTGAGCTCAGTTTGTAAAAGATCATTTCATGCGTTTATGTAAACTTGTATGTTTGAAGAATTCTCTGGTTCGGTAAATTTTCTCCCCTATCTAAACATATTCTACCTATGTATTCTGTGGAAGAAAGTCATGCTTGATTTTGATATTGAAACTCACTAAACTTGATTATTATAGTGTCAAAATATACACTTTTATAATAAATTTTATAAATATTAGTATAAGATTAACATTTTAAACTATAATTATGTGCTTGAAGTTTTGTGAATGAAGTTCAAGGATAATGATTAAAAGTAACATGGTTTTATTTGTTTGATATTATTCTTATTATTATCATTGTTGAAACAGCATAATTTGATTGTTAAATGTGACATTATTAAAGGCAGGATTGTGGATTTGTGGACTAAATGCGCAAGTGTTTATATGTGTGTAGGTTTGTGGACTGATCACAAAGACCTTTGAGAGGTTTCAAAATTGAAAATGCTACATAATTTAGCAAGGAGCCTTGGTAAGAAATTGCATTCATGTTTAGCATTGAACTTGGCATAAACCCTCTCAAATACCAAATGTGTCAATAATCAATACTTAAACAACATCAGTAACATCTACCCTAAAGAAATAGCTGATTTATGATGGGTAGTTTACAAATAACCTCAAGCTAGCTAGAGCTCATATGTCATCCCAACTTTTAGTAACCGAGCACGAGGTATGTTAAATACCTCATCACTTCGCCTCACATTCCTCTTCAAGAAGCTGTATCCATAGTTGATTGCAAGCTTCTTTACAACATTCGAATCTTTTTTCGCAATCACTTCGCTTTCACTCATCATATGCACTACCCCAAGATTTGCTGCCTTTTGAACCATCTCTACTTCTTGTTCGATCTCTTCTGCCAATTCTTCATTACATACGTCACTCTGTATTAAATCTTCATTATTATTATGTGCAAGGGTTTTCTCTTCATTTGTCTTTTCGTATATTCTGATGAACTCAACCAATTTTGTGATCAATAACCTCTCAAACCCTTCTGCATCATCATGAATATCTGTGTAACCATATCTAACCACACACCGAAACAAAAGAGCCTTTGGATCGACCCTTCGGAAGAGAAACCGTTCCTCTTGTGGTACCTTGCTGATATGCAACGACTTGATTGTCGTAAAAACAAGGACAGAGTGTAAGGCATTCACATTCCCCAAGTAGCATGCAAAGATGGGTGGGATGCCATGGACAAGTTGTGAGTAGAAGATAGCCAAGCCCGGAACACGACACAAATTAGCCTGATCAACTATTTCTCTGAGTTTCTCAGTTGAAACCTTGTTGTCGAGCTCATAATAGTAAGTCTTCCTATAGGCATAATTCCATGTGAACATCATGGTCATTAATACTAAAGCAAATACTATTGGAAGATATCCCCCATGAACAAACTTGGAGAAAACCGCGCTCAAGTAAACCAACTCAACGGACAAAATGCAGCAGGCATACAAAAGCACAAGTATTATATGCGTCTTCCATACAAGTATCATAAATGACGAGGTTATAGCCTCTGCAAAGACAACCGCGATTCCTGTAGTACATAGAAGGATTAACACAATCAAGTTGTTTACTAAAAGAAATAAAATAAACTTCGAATTACTAGCTAGTTATACCAAGGAATGTAGCTTACCGTAAGCATTGCCAATATTTGTGCTAGTTCCAAATCCAAGTGCAACAAAAATACATGCAAACATGAGCAGATAGTTGAGTTCTGGTATATAAACTTGGCCTTCAAATTTGGCCGATGTGTGTACAACTTTGACCCGAGGAAAGCATCCTAGAGCCAGAGATTGATGGATGATAGAGAAAGTCGCCGATATCATTGCTTGGCTAGCTATGATTGCAGCCAAGACTGCCACGACAAACATCGGCCAGTATAATGGAGCTGTAAAAATAAAATCCAAAATGTTGATGCAAAAACTTATGTCACTCCATGTAGTTTCAACATAATTTGTTGATAGTTTGTTACCTGGTACTGATTTGTAGAAAGCGTTTCCAACATCCCATGAATGATTGCTAAGGTAAGATGCTTGACCAGTATACTGCAAGATAATAGCAGGGTATACAATTGCAGTCATACTTATTTGGATTGATCGAACTGAAAAATGTCCAAGATCAGCAAATAATGCTTCAGTTCCTGCATTAGATGTTGCATCATACATATGTTACATCAACAACTTCATACATACGTAGTATGTTACTATTTTAGGATGGCTGGAAAAAATTTCCATAAGAAAAAACAGGAGAAATAGTTACCGGTGATACAGAGGATGATACCGCCAAGAGAGGACCAACCGTCTTTGCCATTCCTCTTGAAGTACTGAATGAATTCCCATGGATTTACGGCCCTAATAACTAATGGATCGTGTTTGATGAAATTGTAGATGCCAACAACACCATTGAATATAAACCAAAGGGTAAGAATAGGAGCGAAACTATATCCGACTTTATCAGTTCCAAATCTTTGCATCATGAAGAGGAAGATTAAGATGACAATTGACATCCAAACAACCATTTCTGCAAGAGAAAAAATTATAATTATGGAGGTACAAATAAAATCACTTCATATGAAATAATTTTGTATTTTCACTACCAATATAATCATGTACTACGTAGACACTAATGTTCAAGAATTGTAGAGATTCCAATGGTTCATATGCAATGCATGCATTGCTCGATCATGGATAATTTACTTGACCTAATTTCAACCCATTTTATCAATAGTTAAAATAAGTTGAAGTACATTAAACAACTATTACACAAATGTACAATAACAACATTTTATATAGTTGTAACTTGTACGTAGTATCAATATTACAAGAATTAAAAAAAAAAAAAAAAAGGGAATCATTAACACTTACTATCAGTTAAAGCAGGTGAAGCTCCTTTGATCCCTCCAATAGCAGATAAAACTGTCATCAAATTCATGTCAATATGAAGAACTTTATTAGTTCCAAATAAAAGAAAATAATATGGTACCCAAAAATTAAATAAGGAACTTAATTAGCAAAAAAAAAAAAAAAAAAAAAAAGTATTACCTGACATACAAGGAGTAAAAACACCATCTCCAATAACAAGTGAAACAGCAAGAAGTGTGGCAAATAAGAGAGTATATTTGGCAAATGAACTATTTTCTAAGGAGTTTTGAACCTTAGAAGACAATCCCCTTCTTTCTCTATTATTTGATGATTGATGATTTTCATAATATGCTACTTCCCGATCTTCCTTTTGTTGATTTGGTAACAAACCAACTTTCACCTTTCGGCATAATAGAGAATATAACGCAAAAGTTCCACCTATTTCCCATAAAAATTAATAAAATATCAAAGACGAAATCAGATTTTATTGTAAACGGAGTGCAATAATAATACGTAGTATTAAAAACATATGACTAACTTTTAACTTTTTTACAAACTTGGCCTAATTTTTAGTGTCAAATTGGGCCTTTAAAGGTCCATGGCCTACCCAAGTGAGTCGGGTCCTATTGTAAGGTACGGAGTATCAAATTAAGAAAATGAATAAGGTAACAAATACTGAGTAATTAAAAAGGTTACAAATTAATTTAGAAACCAATCGAGAGTGATAAACTGATAATAAATGCACCACAATAATACACAAAGTATAGCTGTAATAAAAGAATATTCCCTGAGATGGAGAGAACAATTTTTTTTTACAACTTCGAAACATTGTTCATACTTCAATTACAAAATTATGTATTCCCTCATGTAAAAAAAAATTACGAAAATAAAAAAACCTTCTACATGAGGCAATACGTAATTTATTCTCTCTCACATAGAAATATAAACATACCATTGCCATTGTCATTAGCCTTTAAGACGATGAAGACATATTTGACAACGGGCATCAAAGTAAGTGTATAATAGATGAGAGAAAGAACTCCAACAATGTCTTCTCTGTGTTTAACCCCGTTAGGAAACGTGCTCGAATACACGTACAATGGTGATGTTCCAAGGTCTCCAAAAACTACTCCAATACTTTGGAATGCCAAAGTCAATATCACTCCCCAACTTACATCCTAATTTAATAAACCAACCAAAATTAATTAATTGATTTCCCAATTAAATGTGCATACAAAAAAAAAAAAAAAAAACCGTATCATTTCATTAAGCATTTCATGTGATGGAAATTAATACATCTTATACTATATAATTGCACCATTTTTCATTTAAAAGCGTTATTTTAAAAATATTAACTTTTTATAATTCTGAATATATAAAATACAATTGAAGATATTTATAATCATATACTATTAAAATTCCCCCCCCCCCCCCAAAAAAAAAATGGTGCAACTTTATGGAACGGGATGAAAGAAATATATTGAGAGAATTCTTTTGATTATTGACAATTTCTCTTGAAAAATAATTCAAAAATAAACCATAATAATCAAGCACTTTACTAGAATTCAAGTTTTACCAAACGAGCATGCATATAGAAGCGAAAATTAGGTGTACGGTGCATCCATTTATCAGAATGGCAGATAGAATTGACACGAACCTAATAAGATTAATGTGATTTTTTTTGGAAATGGACTAACCTTAGCAGCATGAGCATGATTGCCTTTAACTTTAGCAGATTCGACATCAAGAGAGTCATAACGATTGATTTTTCTTTCACCCATTCACTAATTTCTGAGACTTCTTTTTTTCTTTTTTTTTTTTTTTTTTTTTTGGTTTGGAAAATTTGAGAAAAGGTTGATAGTTATATATATATAAAGAGTTTGAGAAAATGTAAGTTTAATCTAGGAAAGTGAGATAAATGAGATAGCATTAAGGTTCCTCAAACTCAGGAGCCCGCGTACTATCTGTGTCCTTAGCACTTGAGAAACAAGTTGATATTTTTAGGTTTTATTTAATTAATTTTTTTAATGTATTATATTATTTTTAACTCATAAAACAATATATGCAAATTCAAATGAATAGTATGAGTATTAAATACTTGTATAAAGTATATATTATAGGAAGTAAAATTCATCGATCATAAATCAATTAATCCGTGTGAATGTTTATTTCTTCATTTCCAAATTGGGAAAGGATCATATATATAAATAAATGAGAGTGTTTTTTTTTTTTTTTTTTTTTTGAAAGAATAAATAAATGAGAGTAATAATCAGTCTTTATTAGGGACAAAATCAATAAATCATAGTGATTCAGAAGGATACTATGTATTTGTCTTTTAGAGGAGATAAATCATAAAAAAATGTATTAAAAAAAATTAACAAATATGGAAATAATGATTTGAAGGAGATCATACAAATAATGTCGTGTTTTTAATTTGTTTCACATTCTTAATTTCACTTATTTGGATCCCTCAAAAAAAAATAAAAATAAAATAAAATCACTTACCTGGATTTAACTAGTTTTACAATTTATTTGAGTTCACATTAGTTTCACTTAGGCCTGTTTCATATGTTTATTTTCAGTTCAGTTCAGTTCAGTTCCTAATTTCAATTGCTTATAAAATATTCATTTCAATTCAGTTCAGTTCAGCTCAGTTCAATTCAGTTCAGCTGAGTTCGGTTTATGAGAACAGGTCCTTATTCAAGCTGAATAAATATAATAAGTTTTGAAACTAAAATAAGTTCAATGTAAACTCAAATAAGATAAGATATGGTAAGATAAGTTTATATAAGTAAAAATTAGTTTAATGAAACACATCATGAATGTATCTTTGAATTTAGGTAACGTAGCTCTTATCCCTTATTGCTTATTTTATCTGAACTTATGTTATACAAATTACGGAGTATAAACTAATTTAAATTATTAATTTTTATTTTTTCTAAAATAAGTCAAAACTAGATTTTGAGATTCCAATGCGAATCAACTCTATAATGAGAATTAAGAATCAATTTCGTGTGTTAGCTAAAAGTAAAGGAAAATAACATTATACGAGTAGTAGGTAATGCCCAATGGTGCAACTCTTTATACATGACTTTTGATATTTTAAGTGAAGACATTAATAGTCATTAAGTAGCAACTTTGATAACAAAAAATTTCAGTGTCTTTGATTAGAAATTATTAAAAATACGTAGTAAGTTTTTGTGAACTTGGTTTGAAAGTAAAGAAAAAATAGCTCCGTATGAAAAGTAAATTAAATCAATCAAAAAGCAAATAAAATTATGTTAAAAGTAGTGATTCATGATTGAATTTAGAGCTGTAAATTCAGATAAACGGGTCGGGTATGGGTCGGGTAAGAGTGGGTCAAGTCAAATCAGGTCGGGTCAATTCGGATTAATTACATAACCTATGCGGGTCGGATTTGGGTTGGGTCATGCTTGAGTCAGGTCATACTTCTTATCAGGTTTGGGTCGAGTTTAGATCCGGTTAATAACAGGTCGGGTACATTTGGGTCGAGTGAACAATAGGTCGGGTTTTAAGGGTTAAAACGGGTTAGGGTAATTCTCGTGTTCGAGAGCCTGGTTCGGTTCAAGTCAATAATTTGCAGGTTAGAATCAGGTCAGGTCATTCTCGGGTTTGAGTCATTAATGAAATCGGTGCAAGTTGTAAACCGGTAAATTGACCGTTTAACAACAAATTGGATGGTTCCACACACCCAATTGGACGGTTCCACACACCCAATTGGACTCCGGGAATGTATTAGCGACCATGGTAAACATTTCGGCAATTTTTATTTTCGGGCGAAATAAAGTCAAAAAATTCCAAAATTGAATGCTAATATCCACATTTTTTGAAAAATTTTGGAGATTCCGGGGCCCAGTGTAGAAAAGTCTTGATATTTTAGGAGATACATCTCGGGGTCTTATAATGCCGTTTAGAACCATATATGATCATTATATGTTGTCATAAATGTTCGTAGTATGCTTGAGTTAATGAAATCCGTGCAAGTTGTAAGCCGGTAAATTGACCGATTAAAGGCAAATTGGATGGTTTCACCAACCCGATTGGAATCCCAGAGCATATTAGGGACCATGGTAAACATTTCGGCAATTTTTATTTCCGGGCGAAAAAAAATCATAAAATTCCATAATTGAAGACTAATATCCACGCTTTTTAAGAAATTTGGGAGATTTTGGAGCCCGGTGTCGAAAAGTCTTGAAATTCTAGGGGATACATCTCGGGGTCATATAATGCCGTTTGGAACCATATATGACCATTATTTGTTGTAATAAATGTTTGTGGTAGACTTGAGTTAATGAAATCAAAGCAAGTTGTAAACCGGTAAATTGGCCGTTTAAAAGCAAATTTTATAGTTCAACCCACCCAATTGGACTCCCGGAGGATATTAAGAACCATGGTAAAAATTTCAGCAATTTTTATTTGCGGGCGAAAAAAAGTTGAAAAATTCAAAAATTGAAGGCTTATATCCACGCTTTTTATTAAATTTTGGAGGTCTCGTCACGTTGTCGAAAAGACTTAAGATTTTAGGGGAATACATCTCGGGGTCATTTATGACGTTTGGAACCATATATGATCATTATATGTTGTCATAAATGTTCGAGGTAGGCTTGAGTTAAAGAAATCGGTGCAAGTTGTAAATCGGTAAATTGGTCATTTAAATGCAAATTGGATGGTTCCACCCACCCAATTGGACTCTTGGAGGCTATTAACGACCATGGTTAACATTTAGGCAATTTTTATTTCTGGGCGAAAAAAGTCAAAAAAATTCCAAAATTGAAAGCTAATATCCACGTTTTTTGAGAAATTTTGGAGATTTCGAGACGCGGTGTCGAAAAGCCTCGAAAATTTATAGTATACATCTCGGGGACATATAATGGCGTTTGGAATCATATATAATTATTATATATTGTCATAAATGCTCGTGATAGGCTTAAGTTAATGGAATCCGTGCAAATTGTATACCGATAAATTGGTCGTTTAAAGGAAAATTGTATGGTTTCATCCACCCAATTGGCTTTAGGAGAGTATTAGTGACCATGGTGAACATTTCGGCATTTTTAGTTCCGAGCGAAATAAAGTCAAGAAATTCCAAAATTGAAGGCTAATATTGACAGTTTTTGAGAAATTTTGGAAGTTTCGGGGCCCGGTGTAGAAAAGTCTTGGTATTTTAGAAGATACATCTCTGGGTCTTATAATGCTGTTTGGAACTATATATGATCATAATATGTTGTCATAAATGTTCGTAGTATGCTTGAATTAATTAAATCTATGCAAGTTATAAACCGGCAAATTGGTCATTTAAAGGAAAATTGGATGGTTCCACCAACCCAATTGGATTCCCAGAGAATATTAGGGACAATGGTAAACATTTCGGCAATTTTTATTTTCGGGCGAAAAAAAATCAAAAAATTCCAAAGTTGAAGATTAATATCCACGTTTTTGAGAAATTTTGGAGATTTCGGGGCCCGTTGTCGAAAAGTCTTGAAATTCTAGGGGATACATCTCGGGGTCATATAATGCCGTTTGGAACCATATATGACCATTATTTGTTGTCATAAATTTTCGTGGTAGGCTTGAGTTAATGAAATCAGTGCAAGTTGTAAACCGGTAAATTGGTCGTTTAAAAGCAAATTGTATAGTTCGACCCACCAATTGGACTCCCGGAGGGTATTAGGAACCATTTTAAAAATTTCGGCAATTTTTATTTGCAAACGAAAAAAAAATTAAAAAATTCAAAAATTCAAGGATTATATCCACGCATTTTATTAAATTTTGGAGGTTTAAGGGCACGGTGTCGAAAACCCTTGAGATTTTAGGGAATACATCTCAGGGTCATATTATGACGTTCGGAACCATATATGATCATTATATGTCATAAATGTTCGTGGTAGGCTTGAATTAATGAAATCGGTGCAAGTTGTAAATCGGTAAATTGACCGTTTAAAGGCAAATTAAATGGTTCCACCCAACCAATTGGACTCCCGGAGGGTATTAGTGACCATGGTAAACATTTCAACAATTTTTAATTTCGGGCGAAAAAAAAGTCAAAAAATTCCAAAATTGAAGGCTTTATATCCACACTTTTTGAGAAATTTTGGATATTTCGTGACACGGTGTCGAAAAGCCTTGAAATTTTAGGGAATACTTTTCGGGGTCATATAATGACATTTGGAACCATATATGACCATTTTATGTTGTCATAAATGTTCGTGGTAGGCTTGATTTGATGATATCAATGCAAATTATAAACCGATATATAGGTCGTTTAAAGGCAAATTGGGTGGTTCCACCCACCTAATTGGACTCCCGAAAGGTATTAGGGACCATAATAAAATTTCGTCAGTTATTATTTCTGGCGAAAAAAGTCTAAAAATTCAAAAAATAAAAGCCAATATCCACGCTTTTTGAGAAATTTTGGAGGTTTCGGGGCCCTCTATTGAAAAGCCTTGAGATTCTAGGGATTATATCTCAGGGTCATATAATGTAGTTTGTAACGATATATATAATCATTATTTGTTGTCATAAATGTTCGTGGTAGGCTTGAGTTAATGAAATCGGTGCAAGTTGTAAATCGGTATATTGGTCGCTTAAAGGCAAATTGGATGGTTCCACCCTCCCAATTGGACTCCTGGATGGTATTAGGTTCTTAGGGACCATGGTAAACAATTCAGAAATTTTTATTTTCGGGCTAAAAAAAGTATAAAAATTCCAAAATTGAAGGCTAATATCCACACTTTTTGATAAATTTTGGAGGTTTCAGGGCCCGGTGTCGAAAAGTCTTTAAATTCTAGGAGATATATCTTGGGGTCATATAATGCCGTTTGGAACCATATATTATCATTATTTGTTGTCATAAATGTTCGTGGTAGGCTTGAGTTAATGAAATCAGTGCAAGTTGTAAACTGGTAAATTGGTCGTTTAAAGGCAAATTGGATGGTTTCACCCACCCAATTGGACTCTCGGAGGGTATTAGGGACCATGGTAAACATTTTGCCAATTTTTTTTTTCGGGCGAAAAATAGTCAAAAAATTCCAAAATAGAAGTCTACTATCCACGTTTTTCGAGAAATTTTGGAGGTTTCGGGGACCGTTAACGAAAAGACTCGAGATTTTAGGGTATACATCTCGTGGTCATATAATGCTGTTTGGAACCATATATAATCATTATATGTTGTCATAAATGTTTGTGGTAGGCTTGAATTAATGAAATCAGTACAAGTTGTAAATCGGTAATTTGGCCATTTAAAGGCAAATTGGTTGGTTCCACCTTCCCAATTGGACTCCCGGAGGGTTTGAAGGACCATGTTAAACATTTCGGCAATTTTCATTTCTGGGGGAAAAAAGGTCAAAAAATTCAAAAATTGAAGGCTAATATATCCACAGTTTTTGAGAAATTTTGGAGTCTTCGGGGACTGGTATCTAAAAGTCTTGAAATTTTAGGGAATACATCTCGTGGTCATATAATGTCGTTTGGACCCATATATTATCATTATTTTTTGTCATAAATGTTCGTGGTAGACTTGAGTAATGAAATCGGTGCAAGTTGTAAATCGATAAATTGGTCGTTTATAGGAAAATCGGTGAGTTAATGAGAAAAATTGGGGAAAAAATCAGCCAAAATGGTCAAAATAAGCGTTAGGTTGGGCCCACAGACGGAAAATCCACCAGATTTTTGAAATGGGTGGTAATATGAGCATTTATTTAAATTAAGGGGTGGTAATTTAAAATAACAAATTAAACGGGTGGTTAGTTTAAAAATGGTAACATTTTTTGTGGTAACTTTAAAATTATCCTAAATTCATATGGAGTAATTATAATGAAAGTCAACGTGTCAAATTTTATGAAACGAAGGAAGTAATGACATGCGCAAATGCATTGAATTTGTTATATACACTCGGGTGTAACGTACACCCAGCTAACCTAACCCAAGGTTAGTTTTTCCTCTCATTTGATGATTAAATGAAAAACTATCATCAAAATGAAAACAAATAAATGAATCATTATGACTTTGAGTATACGGTACATTCGAATGGATATAACAATATCTCGCAAAGGCGTAATATAGCCCTCTCTCGTACATTTATCAATCCGGCTAATGTTCTTTCATTAACCCCTCGTCAAAATCCTGGGTTGTCCCAAAATAATGCAGTAAGAACTAAGAAGTAAATTCTGGTCTTAGAAATTAGGCAGAAAGATGAAGCTGAAGCAATTAGAGGGTCTCCTCGGAAATCTTGATCAGTTTGCTTCACCAAAGGTATAAATTTCTGTAAAACCCAACATACAAATTCTTCTCAATTTTCTAATTCCTTCCCATTTTTCTTTATTTTCAATAAATTATTGCACAATATTTTTCTTAATTCAAGATTTTACATATATTACTCCTTTGTTGCTGCAGATTGAACTTGAACAATACCCAACTGGCCCTCATATTGCTTCTCGAATGTTATACACTGTATGCATAATCCCATTACTTTCTTTATTAGTATAACATTATTTTGTTGTTGATACCATAATATCATTAGAAAGTTTTAATCTTTTTGAAGTAGGATCGATTTACTGTATTGATAATTGATGGGTATTTTTGTTTCTTGAATTGGGTAGGCAGAGAATTCATTTGGAGATGTAAGTGATAAGGTGGTGGCTGATTTTGGTTGTGGGTGTGGCACATTAGGAATTGCTGCTGCTCTTCTGGGCGCAGAGTGAGTTTCTTTTAGCATTTCTGTGAGCATGAGTGCTTGATTTGATGTTTAATATCCTTTATCCGAAAATCGAGCTTTTATCATATGACTGAATGTGGGAAGTATTTCAGTTATGTTTGTTTGAATGTTTGTTTGTTGTCTTCTTTTTTTCTTGGACTGACGTTGATTGCTGTCAACAGTCATGTTATAGGTTTTGATGTGGACGCTGAATCCCTTGAAATTGCATACTTAAATGCAGAAGATCTAGAGGTATTATATTATATGTGTTGTAGTTTTGTAATTTTAACTGATTATTCAATATGCTGATGCTACTGGCCTTTTGATGCTTGTTTACTGAAAGTGTTGAGGTATAAGGAACTAGATGAGAATTACTTATACACCACATATCAATTACGAAATATTAACCCCTGACAGACTGTGATTATAATTTGAAGAGTTGTTGACTACCTAAGGGCGTTTGTGGAACTTGATGGATTTATTTGTTTTGCATTTGGAATCCCACTTACTTGGCTAGACTGAGTTTAAGCTAATTAGAGGTCTTTCTTTTCAGTATATCAAAATTGAGCTACATTTAGTTGACGTTGATCGGTTTCAATTATCAATTGAGCTTAAGTGGCCTAAACTAGGCAAAGAATCTCCAAGCTAATCATGCCACCTGGTGACAAGCAATGGTTTTTGCTTAGTGTTACTGCCCTATTGGCTTCATTCATTTTTCCTAAATTCTCCTTATTAGAACTTAATATCTCTTATCAGAACTTGTCTATTGTATTGGACTTGTGTAGCCACTATTAGTAGGTGAAAACTCCGGATCAAAGCTAATCATGCCACCTGGTACATCCCTCACTAGAGTCACTACCTTAGATATGAAATGAAAATGTTCTAGTCTTAGATTGCTTTTATAACGTCTAGGGATATATGATATGTTGCACTTTGCATTTGATAATAAGCATTGTGATATCAATGTTGAGTTGAAGATTTAGTCACTACTTTACCCTCTGATTGCCGCAATTGAGCATCATAATAGCAGACTGTTAAATGATAATAATAGACAGAGATTAAGAAAACTTCTCCTTCGCTCTTATAGTCGTAGGCTTGTAGCTTTTGTTGGCTTTTCCTTATAAGTTTTTAGTCTGCTAATCCCCCCCCCCCCCCCCAAATAAAGGTGAAAGGGTGGATGTTAACAGGAAGAGATAACTTATAATCTGTGATTTGAATTTGATAGCAAAATTGTAACTAAATTGTTTTTTACCTGACCCAGCATCAATACTGGTATATATTGTTGAATTTGTTTATGATTTAACCATTTGTTTAATTGTATATATGTGCAGCTGGATATGAATTTTGTTCAATGTGATATCCGGAACTTAGGATGCCGAGGTAATTTTCCCCTTGACCTCTGTGATTTCTTCTCTAAGTTAATTTCAAGTTCATTATAAAAAATATTGCCTGAAATGTTAGGTGTCACGTACATAACTACATACTGTTAAATTCTGTTAGCTATTTATGTGAATATGCTCCTTTGAAGAAGTATTTATTTATTAGAGAGCTTCAAAGCCTTCAATCTTGTTTTGAAAGATTTGAGGCACATCGAGTTGGCAAGGATCCTAGAGCCTTGGCAAAAGTTAAGAGGTTAAAGGTTTACTCATTAGTTGAGGGTAAAAATAAGCAATAAAACCATCAAAATTTTCATAGTAATGCAACAATTAGCAACGTACTGCCATATCATAGATTCATAGAAAAATAGAACATCGAGATTCCTGATGCAATGCTGATGCTCCTTGGGACACCTTAGAGGCTGTCATGGCTTTGTTGCTTTAAATTTAATGTTCCAGTGAATGAGGTATGGTTTATATGCACTAATTTCAATTATTTGCTTATTCATAATGTTGAATAGAAGTGGTTGTTATTTATGCACTTCTATGCTTTCTTTTAAACGAGGTCTTTATAACATATGAAGTCTAATGCAATCCTGCTATACTGGCCTTTTCTGATCCATGGATGGTGATCCAGAAGGTCTATCATTGGTGGTGGGCAGAAGGTGGGAACAAGAAAGTGTTGAATCTTGATTCTTCAGAAAGTATAGAAAGTTTTTTTTTTTTGGTCAGAGGTTTGTCAGGAGGTCAACCACTTTGAATCTTATTGACAAGCCTGACAAACTCTGAAGCGCTATGCTCAGTGCTATTGTTGATTATTCATGTCTATTCCGAATTTCTTAATGAAGTAAATATATAAAGAAAGACTTCAAGGAGGTATCACTTAGTCGCAAACAGAGAGGGCACAAATAGAATACATGCTGTCTTTTTAATCTTTGATAACTTGTCAATCCTAACTACAATTAAAGTTAATTTTCTTCTGACATTATGCTTTGTTGTTGTATTGTCAGCATATAGTTACATATTGTATTTTTTCCTTAAAACATAACATCAAAACTGACAGTTAGATTTCATGTTCTGAAACAATATTAGTGAATTATTTTAGGGAAAACCGTTGATACAGTTGTGATGAACCCTCCTTTTGGAACCCGCAATAAGGGAGCTGACATGGACTTTCTGTCTGTAGCTTTGAAGGTACTGTATTGCAGCTAGCTAGATATATTTTCAAATGGTGCACTTCTTTGTGATTTGCTGATTTTTACTGCTTGAATTTTGTTTCTCAGGTCGCTTCTCAAGCAGTATATTCTTTGCATAAAACAACAACAAGAGATGTGAGTCTTCTAAATTGAAACTGTAATCTATTTATTTGATGATTAGCAAATTTAGTCTAGTCTACATGTAAGAAATTATGTTTCCTAGTAACTTGTTGGAAGTTGTAGTTAAGGGCTGTTTTGGCCCTCTGGTTCATCTAATGAGCTCATGAGCTGTTTCCTTGTTGATCCTTCTTGTAGATATGATATACCTGAGGTAGATTGTGACTTGTAATGTTTACATGATTCTGTTAGGTTCTGTAAACATGTAATGCAAAAATTTTAGTAGATTGAGTTCAGTGCCTATGCTATGAATTACTAGTGTATTCTTAACCTTTGTTTTCATTATATCTTTTCTTTGGTTGTGCCAACGTTCAGCATGTGGGAAAGACAGCCTTGCGAGACTATAATGCTAAAAGTGCTGAGGTGTTGTGTGAGGTTAGTACTGCAAATTTTCCTCTGTAGAGAGCAAATATAATGGTCTTTTGCAGGATATAGCAGGTTTTACTCATTTCATTTTCTCTGTTGATTTTTTTCAGCTTCGATATGATGTCCCACAACTGTACAAGTTCCATAAAAAAAAAGAGGTTGATATTGCAGTAGACCTCTGGCGATTTGTGCCCACACCAGCAGCTGGAAATGGTGTTTAACGTTGCAGATGGTCGTGATTTCTTCAAATCTTTTGCCAACAGAATTTGGCATGAATCAAGTTTCAGAAACTGTTCTCTTGTAAAGAGGAATTTTGACTCATCAACTGTCAAGTCAGGCAACTAGATAATATACACATTATCCTCTGTAAAATACTTTAATACTTAGTCTGACACAATTGAAAGCTAGTAAGCTACACAATGCTATTTATTCTTTCTTAGAGATTCCCTGAAATTATTTATGTAATACTTGAATATTACTAGTTTCTGAAATTATTATTTTATGATCGTGATTATGTAAGATCAGATTTTAGTTATTGAGATTAATTTTGTGCAATCTCTTGAGTTGGGATTATTTAGATGCTGGCAGCATATGGATTATACACTGTATTATTCATTGCCAACAACTTTTTCTTCTGTTATATACGAAAATTTAATAGCATGTACTGAGTGCGAGAAAAAAAAGTCTGGTCACTGGCCTCACTGCTCATTAGCTTCAAACTTAACTGATAGATGGCCATATGAAGTAAGATATATGCATCAGATTGATTGTTCAGAGAAGGAAACCAGAGTAATAATTCATTTTGCCAAAATGATTGCATGATTTACAGAGCTGAACTGACTAGCTGAAAATGTTGTACACACTGTGTAATCTATGTGAAAAATAAACATATACATAAAAGCCTCAAAAACACCTTTACAAAAAGGTTTCATGGTTTCCTCCCAACTTAAAAATACAATTGAAGATGCAGCCTCTTTCTGTCTCTACATCGACTTCTCTCCATACGACCATAATTGCTAGTACTTGAGCTATATGTGATGATTATAGAAGACAAAGGCAATAAAAGCAAACAAAAACTGCCTTTTAAAGATACAACAAACTCGAAAGAATTAGATTATCCTTTCTGAATTCAAAAGTCCCACCAACCTGAATTGGTAACTTTCTTCAGATGCTATGATATTATTTATTGAACACTAATCTCAACTTCTGAAGCTTCTGTTTCTGTGCTAGGACTTTCAATTTGCTCACCAAGGGTGTACCGGGTAAACCTCCGAACTTTAATGTTCTCCCCAAGTGCAGCCACAGTTTGCTTCACAAGGTCCTTTACCAGGATACTGTCATCTTTGATGTAGGGCTGCTCCGAAAGAGCGAGTTCTCCTAACCTCTTTGAAATCCTTCCTTCAACAATTTTCTCCCTGATATTCTCAGGCTTTGATAATATATCTTCTCTCTGCATCTCAATCTCCTTTTCCTTGCTCACTATACTTTCTGGTATATCCTCGACAGATACATACTCTACCCGTGGGCAAGCTGCAACTTGCATAGCCAAGTCATCCACCAATTCCTTGAACTTCTCACTTCTACCCACAAAGTCAGTTTCACAGTTAATTTCAAGAAGCACTCCTATGCGAGCATCATGAACATAGGACCCAATTCTTCCCTCAGCTGCAAGCCGACTAGATTTCTTTTCAGCACTAGATAGACCCTTCTTTCTAAGATACTCTTGAGCTTGCTCAAGATCCCCTCCAGTCTCAGCAAGAGCCTTCTTGCAATCCATCATGCCTGCTCCAGTTTCATCTCGTAATTGTTTGACTAATGCAGCTGAGATTGCTACTGTTGGTGCCCTGCATTATGCATTGAAGTAAATAAAATTGAGATCAGCATGTTACTTAAAGGAAAAATTAGAAGAGAACAACATATGTGATGCAGTGATGACCATCAATCTGTCAACAATCTACAGAAGTATAACTTCAAACTAAGTACAAGTTTCACCAGAGGCACTTATACATGATCTATTCTGTCAGTGTTATTTAGGCAAGACTAAAGAATACAAAAAGTGTTGTTTATGAATAACTATGTATATGGCCTTGGTGCTAAGCAAGGAAACTCAAAATCCTTGATTTCATTTAATGGCTGTAGTTTTAAGTTAGGGAGTATTATATCTGATGTGGAGATGCAATACAGATTATAGATTACCGAGCAGCTGAAGTTTAGACAGCTGTTTTACTGCTATTAAAGTACGATACCAGATAATTAAATTTTGTGGGATCCCTTTCACAATCTCAATTTCTCAACCACGAAAACGAAAGAAAAAGAGAATATATGCTGTGCCATGAAATTTATGCTAAACAAAAGCATCAATAACTGACTAGAACCTAAACAGCTTTCACTCCTTGATTAATTAGTGATCCCACATAATATGTGAGTAATCAGACTCTTAAAAACTTGGAATATAATGTCCATTTTGAATGCAAAAATTACTGATCCATGCCTGCAACAATGAGTGCAAGAGTATGCGCATGTATTTTTATTGTTTATGTATCTAAAGGAGTGCTTCAACTAGTGAAATAGATTGCTAGACATTTAAAATTTCAGACTTCAATACAACTCTTTTTTATTATTACACAATTCATAACAAGATCAGCAGTAATGCAGTAGACTTGAACCTTAAACTGTCAAAAAAGTTACGATATATGCTCAATCTTTGCATGGGTGAATGTACGTATATCAATATGTATCATTTATGAAGTGCATCACTTTCAACATGTCATTAGTCTCATTACAAATGTAAATCAGCAGATCAAGGGATATATTACTTCTTATAAAAGTCTTACACACTACACAGAAATCTAAGCAGGGTGATAGACTGGTTATTTACCAGAAAAGCTTAAGTATCATAGAATGAGGCTAAAATACTGTAGTGTGTATTACTTACTGTATAATTTTAAAAGGTTGTTCGAATGATAGTAGGAAAGACCGAATTCTAATAAATTAAAAAGGTATGAATAGACAGATAGCACACAACATACCATTTCATATTTTGCAACATAAGGTCTGTGACAAGAGCCATTAAATAATATCTATGTTACTCTAAACCTTCATATGATATCAAGTATTACTGTACAAGTGATCGGATACTCTACACTTAGACGTGGTATGACACCAGAACATGCAAAATATCCATAAAATGATCGTGTAGGCTCATGTCTGATACATACACACACCCGACATCTATGTCAGACATTTCTATCGAGTCTAAGTAAAGTAGGATAATATTATATTATATACTGTAACAAGAGGAAAATCGAGGTATAACTTACTTCTCAACTGGTTTTTCAATTTCAGCTGCAGCAGGCTTCTCTTGTTCTGGTGCAGAGGATGGTTTTGCTGCAGTTTGGGCAGCCACCTCAGCTGCAAAATCTTGGGATTTCTTCTCCAATCCTTCACCAAGATTGTACCTCACAAACCTATTCACTTTAATGTTTTCTCCAATTGTTGCAATTGTCTGCTTCACCCAATCCTTAACAACCACTTTATCATCCTTGATATATGGCTGCTCGAGCAAAGCCAAGTCTCCAAGCCTCTTATTAACCCGCCCTTCAACAATTTTTGACCTGATTTGCTCAGGTTTTGACAATAAATCTTCCTTCTGCATTTCAATTTCTTTTTCTTTATTCACAATTTCTTTTGGAACATCATCAGTAGAAAGGTACTCCACTTGAGGGCATGCAGCCACTTGCATAGCTAGATCATCGACTAGCTCCCGAAAAATATCACCCCGAGAAACAAAATCTGTCTCACAATTCACCTCAATCAGAACTCCGATTCTGCTATCATGAATGTAGGAACCTATTCTCCCTTCAGCAGTGGTTCTGCTAGCTTTCTTATCTGCACTGGCTAGTCCTTTCTTTCTGAGAAACTCTTGTGCTTTAACAATATCACCTCCAGTCTCAGAGAGTGCCTTTTTGCAATCCATCATCCCAGCTCCTGTTTCATCTCTTAACTGCTTTACAAGAGCAGGGGATATAGCTGCTGCAAACATAACAGACAAGGATGCAGAAACTGTAAATAATAAGGCAATGATAAGCGCTTATGCATGATCCTATTTACAGGAATCAGCCAATCACATTAGTATGTGACATGTAATTTATCTGGCTTCTAAAAATAATAAAAAAAAAAATAAAAAAAAAACCAAATACTTCTATGCTTCAATTGAAAATAAAGCATGTCTTATCTCTATGAAGAGAGCTTCAGCCTTTCTCCTAGGGTAGACTGGTTTCACAAACATCCAACAATTAATGCTTTGTAAGTTCTTTTTATCTTTCATTCTTGTTATTGCAGTGGAATGTGGGGAAGAGAATGTAGAAGCATTTTAGACCAAAACAATGACTTCAGCTACCTATAGACATCACAGAACACAGGAAAAATTCATACAAAAAAAAAAAAAAAAAGAGTTGAGAATTAATAGCATGCTAAAGGTTTGTCACAATTTTACCTTCTAGACTTAACATGGCTTTTGCAGGGGTTCTTCACAACACCAGACAAGTTTCACAAATATACAAATATTCGTATGTGACAGGGAGAAAGTACACTTTGAAAAACTAGGTTAATTACATAATCCTTCAACCAGAACTAACAACCACACCTCCATTTAACATTTACGCTGGTAGTACAAATATAAAAATTGACCATAAATTTCTGAAAACTCGTTTTTGAGTTCAATTGGTTACATCAATCTTCATAGTGCTTACATATACACTTCAGAAAATCAGGGACGTTCACTCAACCAAACGCTCCACAAAACTGTCATTAGAGATTTTAAAACGGAGAAAAACAAGATACAGATAATTTTGAAATAGAAATGCTGTTACTTAGAAGGCATCCTGAAAGCTTTAAAATATTGTGATAATATGCACTAAGATATTTTTAGATCTAGCAAATTTTAATGTAATTAGGAACTAACAGACGGGAAGTTTAGCCACCTTTGGAGGCGCTTCCCTGAGGGGAAGATCCATTTGGTCCACTTGAGTCATTGATACTCCCATTAGCCTCAGGAGAAGTCGTCTCAACACTGGCTGCATCAGTAGGGATTTCTACAGAAGCATCCTCTTTTGCACTAACATCCTCAGCTGGTCCAGCTGGAGTTTCTACTAATGTTTCTTGGCTAAGAGGAGACACCTCACTTTTTGTCTCTCCATCTTCAGCCGATGGGGGAGAAGGTATTGGTGTTGTTGCCTCATCTTCCGCACTTGAGGCACTAATGCTGTCAGGACTAGACGTCTCCACTATGGATTCATCTGTGGGAATCTCTAATTGCACGTCTTCTTTCGCACTAACAATCTCAGGTTGAGTTTCTGCCCCAACTTCCTGGACAACTGAAGAGGCCTCACTTGTCTGTTCATTGTCAGCCAAAGGGACACCAGATATTGCTGCTGTCTCATCTTCTGCAACGGGAGCATCATCTTGACTCGTCATTGCAACTTCTTCACGGTTTGTATTCTCTGCTTCTTCCTCAATGGAGGGAGCAGCAGCCTCAACATTTTCT